GGTGACTCTGATGAGGATGATGAAGGCCTTGAGGACCTCTCAGACCTGAGCTATGATGATGATGAAGAGGATGTAGATGACTTGGAGGATGATTCAGGTGATTTATATGTTTCTGTAAAGAGCTAGGATTGGCTTTGTTTAGGGTTAGATATTCACTATGTCTGAGAAATCTTCTGTATGTTTTCAACATAATTCTGCTCATTATATTTTTCAAGTAGGTAGCATGCCATTTATCTTTTCCCCATTTTTGTCATTGTCTCAGATGGTGACCAGAAGAAGCCCTCGTCTTCTAAAGGCAAAGCACCAAAGAAGATGTTGAGCACAGAGCTGAAGGAGGTGGCTGAAGGAGATGAAGATATGGTTGAGGACCTGGAGCTCTCTGATCAGGACTAAAGTCACAGTGTTACATCAGAGGGTCATTTCTATTTCACATCCAAACATGATTTATACTGTTATTAAAGCAATAGCTCACCAAGAAATTAAAGAGCCATGTACAGCCCCTGTTGTAGTAATTAAGGTTTTTTAATTGTATCGGTATTTTATAAAGTGTGAAACAAAACAAATTAATCTAACATTTCATAAGGTTGTCAAATTAAAAAGACCTTATTAAAACTCTGAACTTTGTTTTAAAACTACTAAAGGCTATCTTTTTCAGCTCAGTATTTGGAGATGTTGCATTGTGCCGAGGGCACTGCTTGTGTTTAGAGGTGGTGAATGGGTAGGCCAGAGGCGGGAGGGGGAGACACGGGGTCGGCCCTGAGCACCAGGCTGCCAAACGCTCGTATCATCCACTGCCAGGCTGTGCTGCCCAGGTGGGGAGAGAGGAAGAGACGAAAACAGAGAGCAGCCTGTTCTCTCGCCAAAACATCTCTCCCCTTCAGTGCTTTCACGTCACTTTCTGAAACCGCTTGGCATTTTCAAAGTGTTTTAAAGCAGCGTTTAAGCTGCCAGCACTCCACACAGCTCTAGTGGTGCTGTGGGAAATTGGTTAAGAACGACAACTATACTAGAATAGTCAAAAAATAAAATTTGTCCTCATTTACTTTTAACAATTTTTTTTGACTCGAGTTGTTTCTTCCAGTTCACAAGATTTGTTTAGGAATTAGCCTGATCTCATTCTTGAAATCAATTTATATGGTACGGTTCACTGGAGAGAAAAACTATTCACAGATGATGACTAATGTAGGTCTGTCTCAAACCTAACATAAGACATCAGAAGACTGAATATGAGGACACATCATAAAAACTTTAGTGTTTCTGCATCCTTTTTAAAGTCCACATTCACTGTAATTGCAAGGAAAAACATGTCCAAGACATTCTCTTTTTGTGTTTTATGAAAGTCAAAGGTTTAGAACACCTTAAAGGGTCAGTAAATGGTAACATCATTTTATTCCTTTTTAAAATCATTCTCTCTTATGCTCACAACTGGGTGTAACAGCTGGTGTTTATGGCTGAAGCATCTTTCCTGTTGCATAATGGGAGTGTGAGCATACATATTTTGCGTTCTGTTCTTTCCATCACTCCCAGATTGAGGTGCTGTTCGGAATGTCAAGCAACGTTAAATTCAGGCCACCGTGACTGAACGTCAGCTGGGCTGCATTAGAGTAAATTCAGTTTGCACTAGAGCTGCCGCACGCATCATGCCTGTGTTTGTGCGAGTCTGGGTAACAGGTTTACTCGTATCACTCGGAGCACAGTCTATCACATGCAGCACCTGGCGCTGACAGTCACGGGTGTAGTAAAAAATATTTTTTTTTAAGGGGCGGATGGTGGACGTCCCTGAGAGTCAGTTGTTCTTTGGGTTAGGTGGGTGCCACAGGGGCCCTGGCCTGTGACTGAACCTGACGCTCTGACAGCTGTTGTTGACCTGAACCCTGCCCCACCCCTCCACATGCTCCCTCCCCTAACCAGGGGATTTACCGTCCGCTGGGGCCACCACTCCCTGCCCTACTGTGGAGGAGTTTGGAAATAAACATATTACTCAAAGAAAATAAGAGAAGAGCGCATCTGCAAGTTTGCAATAGGATTTATTTCACCCAGCAGAGAATAGAAAAATAGGATGAAGACAAAACATTGATGGGAAATCTAGAGAATATTTTAATTAATTGCTTACATATTTAAAAAGAAAAACCATTTCAAAGATTTGCATAAAGAGCTTTGTGCCTTCCATTTCCCTGCAACAAAGAGAAAAGTATTGTTCTTTGGGATCAATTTAAGGACAATTTAATATTTTGTTGCTCCAACTACAGCAAACAAATTCCTATAAATATTTTTTTTTTCTCATTTATATGCTGAAGTGGCATTTAAGATTGGGGCTCATGATTATTACAACTGGAATACACAGCAAACAGAAAAAGATGAACAAAAGTACCACCGAGTCAGCCAGTCACATTTTGTTCAGTAATAAAGATTTTTAACTCGTGCAACTACATTTAACAAAACGTACCACTTATTTCATCTTCAGTATATTCTCATCTTGAGCATGTTTCTGTACAATTCAGGATAACATGTCTTTCCCACAGCAGTAAGTGTGACCTCACAATGGCATTAATCCATCTATGGACAGGCATCGGGAGGGATGTCCATCCTTCCCTAATGCTCTTTTTCTCGCGGGGTCGTGAAACTAAAACGGGCCCAGATGTTTGTCGGGTGAGAGTTTGGGCCATTGCTTTGGCTGATGGCTTTTGGTCACAGGAAGTCTAAGTGCTTTACACATCTCTCTTTTTGAGGTCCTTTTCCATTTCACTTCCTTTAGTACGGCACCCTGTATGTGTACCTTGTTTCGTCACTGGTGAGATCAATGCTAGATCTCGTTTGAAAATTCCACATCCGTCCATCTTTGGTTTTGGACTGTGGAATGCATAGTTGCACTGGTCAAGACTGCAAATGAGTTCCATCCTGTTCTTATATTTACTCCTCTTTGGAGGATTTAGTCTTTCGAAGCGAAACCAACTCCAGAGAATTTAAAACGGCTGGAAGTTGGAGGAGAAATTGGCGTGAAAGCAGAAAAAGAAAGCATCTCTTTCGAAGTTCACCCGTCCCCGAGAATGTTAGGTACCACAAGAGTTCATCGCAGCGAATGTTGCTTTCCTACAACATCTGACACAAAAGAATGTCGTATGTGTACGTTCACTGGCTGCGTCTCCCTTCCTTCTGGCATGCCGTTTAAGAGCAGCTGTCTGCTCACGTTCATCTCTCGCACACTCTTAACGCTTCCTGTCTCGTCCCCAAGTCCCTATTTGCACATCTTTGGATTTTGGCTTCTATATAGCCGCTGCGAGGGGTGGAGCTGTTTTAGCCCGTGTCGTTTCATCAGTGTCTCTCGTCTTTCTGCACTTTTCTCCACACTTTTCCTAAAAAGATTAAGTGCCTCTGCATAAAGGTCCTCAAGTTTGCGACTAGTTCAAAGAGGGCCCCCTTCATGCCCTCTCTCAGATTTTACCTCCTCCCTGAAGCACTGCCTCTGCCATATGGAGAAGCAGTCAAGAGTTTTAATGGCCAATTCTACGAGGGAGGTTTAGTGGAGTCGTAAGCTCCCGCTGAGGAGGGGTTTCCGTTCTCCTGTTTGGGGGAGGCGCGGCAGGCAGGAGGGGGCACGCTGAATGGGGAGGAAGTGCTGCCGGTAGAAGGAGGGCGGGTCTCGGTGGGCAGGGGGTCTCTGTCCGTGGGGCGCAGAGCAGATGGCGGCAGCGGGAGGGCCAGCGGGAAGCGGAAAGCAGCCACGTGCCAGCGTTACTTCTCACACCGTACACCCAACAGGAAGTGCACAAGGATGTACAGTTCCAGTGATACAAGATGATTGCTTTCATGTCTGCTTAGATTAATGAATGCAGAATTGTGATTACACATGAAGAAACAAAGACAAAAGAAGTGGTCCTATTTATAGGTCAGGGGTAGGCAAGTTCAGTCCTAGAAAGTCTGAAGAAAAAAAAAAATAACTTTGCTTATAGCCTTAGTAATCCTGAAGACATTAATTAGCTTGTTCTGGTGTGTTTGATTAGGGTTGGAGCTAAACACTCTAGGACCAAAATTGCCTATCCCTGCTATAGGTTAATGGGGTTGTGGGCAAGGTTACGAAAGTTGCCCCACAGGTGTAAAAATTACAAATATCTTCTAGCCAGAAGTTCTAATCTGCTTCATGTATTACAGACCATCTTCAGGTACTGTTCGCAGTTACTGGGGGAACCAAATTTGGAGACTCTACGTCAGTAGTGTAGTCTCCTGCTCCTGGTGGGCCACTTCAGTACAAAGTTTAGATCCAATCTTATCCATTGCACCTGCTCAGATGTTTTAAGTGATCCTGAAGACCCTGATTAGCTTGTTCGGTTGTGTTTAATTAGGGTTGAAGCTAAACTCAGGAAGGTGGCCCTCAAGAAGCAAGATAGGACACCCTTGCTCTATGGCAGGGATGGGCAACTCTGGCCATTGGGATGCCTCTGTTCGGCAGAGTTTAGCTCTTGATTAGCTTGTTCATGTGCGTTTGATTAGGGTTGGAGTTAAATTCTGCAGGGCAGTGAGGACAGAGTTGCCCACCCTTTCTCTAAGGTATACCTGCCCACTATTATTGCAACATGTACAGTCTTGCTCCTGGAGAAATATTGTCCTGTAGTGTTTGGCTATGCCCTATTTACAGCTATTTAAACACACCTGAATCAGCTAATCAAGTTCTCAGGATTACTTGACAGAGAGGTGTGTTGAAGTAAGGTCTGCATAAAAGCTGCAGGACAATGGCGCTCCAGGAGCAGGATTGGACACCCCTGGTACAGCAGGTCATTTTTTTACCTGAGAGCGGATCTTGAGGGCAGGCCCTAGTTTCAATCCCATGTTGTTGAGCAGGTGGTCTTCCGTCAGCAGTGGCAGAGTCTCGCCGTCGATGACCTGCTCTCTGAAGACCTGAAAGAGATGATTTGGCTTCAGCTGATGTTGATGAACATGCACCAACTCACTCCACATGCACACAATTCACGTGACTCTCATTCCACAGGGAGGCTCATGCACACTCGGCATCTGCAGTGAAATGAGGTACACTGTGGTCGACAGTGGGGTTTTGGTGATGCGTTGCGCATGCGACAGAGTGACATCCAGTGTGGTGAGATGTGAGACAGAGCTGTGAGTGAGAAAGATAAGAGCAGCGCAGAGCGGCCTTCTAACTTTTTAAAGTACACTCTAGAAACATCTAAATCAAGCTATTCTGGTATAATGTTCTCGTCTACGAATTGCAGCACATGATCTTCATTCTGTGCTGTACTGTATGTCTCCAGTAGCCCCTGTTAAAGGCAGGGGGAGGAGAGGAGGCGTCCAATGCTCTGCTCCTGCTCTTGTCCTCACCTGTGTATACTCCCCACAGCCTACTAGGCTGCTGATGAAGCTGCACACCTCCTCCACACTCCACTTGCTGATATCCTCGGCTGCTCCCGCCTCTTCTCCGTCCACGAAAAGACCTCCCATGGCGCCTGTGGGCCCACCGGGCCGAGAGGAAGAAGAAATCATTAGAGACAGAAGGCCTCCTGTCCCCTTACACGGACGCTTGCGCCTACACACCGCTCTGTTATTGACCCTGCCTATTACAGAGTTTAGTAAATGTCAGCGACAGGGCCCCTTCCTGGGGGAGGTCTCTCAGCTGGAGCAGGTAATGCGTTTCAGATGGCTAAGGTTGCTCTGCACTTATTCAAGCTAGGTGGGGACAAACACTTCAGCTACTAGCCTTTAACTAGATACTGTATTAATGCTGGGCTAAACCTTATATGCTTCTTTAATGTGTTGATATCTCTTGAAATAATTTTTTACCACACAATTTTGTCGTGTTGTGAAAGTAACTTTGTTTGAGGAACAACCCCAAATGTATGTTCCTGACTTCTTTCATGGTACTTCATAGTATTTTTTGTTGGTGTTGGTGTTTTTTATAAAGCCTGACAGCTGTGAATGCCATACACTTAGATTTATAGGGACAAGAAAAACCTGCATTTTATGGTAAATAATTCATTTTGTCTGTAAACTGACAGAATTTTGGTTTTTGGAACTATCTTTTAAGAAGTCGTGTTTGTGTGCTTGTTCGCTTTCTGTCTCATCCTATCAATGGTACAATGAGACTTGTATGTTGGTATACTGGTGCATTTTTGTGTGTGAGCCAAAATCTTTTTGTATGTTGCATGTTCAGTATTTGCTAGAATGCCTGAGGAGGGTTAGCTCAGCTTCTCTCTGAGTTGGTCACTTCCTCATTAGGAGACTCATTTTCCATTAAAACTTGCTCTGGGCTTGCTTGCACTCTGGGCTCAAGCTTTCTCAGTTTCTCTAACTCTCTCGCTCACTCTTTCTGTCTGACTGTCTGTAAGGAATACTATTTGAACTCCAGATTTTACAGATAGTTAAAGTTGAGGAGCAGGCATATGGTGTCACTAACACTAGTGCTGTGTATGTTCGTTTTAAAAAAGGAGTGCATCGGGTGAGTTTGCTGAACTGGAATTGGAGGATTTTGTATATGAACACTGTCCCTAAATGTCTCTAAAATGCAGTATCTCTCATTGGATGTGATTGGGTTATGTTATCTGAATTTTAAAGACCTGTAAACTCACCGGTGTGAAAGTAAGGGCTGGTGTATGGAAAGGTGAAGGGCAGAGCTTGTCCAGGCAAGGTGGGTAAGGGTGGGATTCCTGGTGGCAGGTATTTGGCCTCACTCTTGCTCAGTCCTGATGTGAAGAGGTGGTGGGTTGGTGACTCTTGGCCAGTGGAGCTACAAGGAGCACTGAGCCTCCCCGACCCCTCCCCCAGCTCTTTCACCGCTTCACTAGTCTTAGTTACATCCTTGCCTTGGCACACACCTGAACCGAGACCATGTCCGTCAACTTTGGAAAGCCTCTCAGGCCTGTCTTCCCCAACCTCTGCATCATTCTCAAAGTCTTTCATGTCTTCATCCTGTCCCTCTATTTCTCCATCCCGTGCACAGCCCTCCCCAAGCATCTCTTTAGTTTCAGATGAACCCCCATGTTGGTCCACTCTGAGTGGTCCTCCTTTCCTCAAGCTCTTCCTGTTGCTATGGTCTTTAGAGGAAGTTCCTGCTGCTGCCCCCTGGTGGTTGAGGGAGAGTAATGGGGTGTTGTTGTGCCGCAAAACCAGCATGGCGTTGCGGCGATTGAGCTCCTCACGGAGTGGGTGGCCCTCTGGGATTTCTTGCAGGCTCCGCAAGGCAGGGTGTTCTGCAGGGAGCCCAGGATGCAGGGCCAGCTGGTCCGCCAGCAATCGCTGCCTGTGGAGGTTCTCTAACTCCTTCTGTCTCAACAGTTCAGCAGACATTTCCAACCTGGAGGAACAATCCACAATCAGAGAGGCACGCTGCAACTCGGAAATAAATATTTCCAGAGAAAAGCTTGCAACTATTACGTAATAATATGAAATTCCACACAGTATCATCAATTTACTCTATCTTTTGCTATTGTACAAGCAGTTGCTCAAACATCAATTGTAATAAGAGTCTGAGACATTTCTCTGTGTAGCTCTATAACATTACCTAGCAAGGTTCTGTTTACGAAGAATCTCCTGTTGACGGGCGAACATCTCTGCCTGAGCAGGCTGCAGGAAACCATAACCTACAGGACAATGGCAAAATAAGAAATACATCTATCTGTATACAATATAAATCTAGTGTTCACAGATTGTTCACATTATTCAACATAGTGTTTCAATACAGTTGCTCCAAATAGATAATGCTAAACTTTTTTGCTTTGAGTAATTTTTGCAATTACATTTAACCAACTGGTCTCAAGGTACTTTTTAGTGGACATACAAAGTCAGCTCTTCTCAAATTCACACAGTTGTCCCAGCAGAGTAACACAGGTATAGTTCATGACATTAACTATGGACATGCTACACTAATGTTTGACCACAAGAAAGTGTCTCCTTTGCCTTAATGTTGATCAGTGTCTATTGCTGTATAATTTCAACCCTAACAAACCTCAAGTATTGTTTGAAAAGTCCACTTGTGCTTTATTCATTTAAATGCTATTGTATGACACAGAAGTTGATATTTTGTTAAATGATGCAAAGACAATTGCATATTTTTTAGTATGTGTAAATTATTTTGGGGTGTAAATATAAATAGATTTATCAGAGACCTTTCTTGAATGTGTATATGGGTGGAAAACAACCCATAACCCATTAAAGGAACTCCCAGGTTAAATGAGCTTGGAGTTAATGTGAGGGTGTGTTACATCTGGCAGAGCTAGCTCACCTGGGGCTTGGCAGAGGGCAGAAGGCATGCCCAGGAACGGGGGACGCAGGTGAGGCCCCAGAGCAATGTGAGGAGCATTCTGCGGGGACAGCAATGGAGGAGGGTGCGATATGTCTCTGTACACAAACAAAAAAACACCATTATTAACCAACTGCTACTGTTTTTCTACATGTCTCCATCGCACATGCCTAGCACTACAACAGTACTGGTACAATGTTTGCAACTTCTGTTGCTGTTCTTACTGGCACGGGATGTGTACCTTTAGCAACCTGCTTAAAGTCATCATGAAACGGTGTTTACAACCCATTTTACTTTTTAATAAAAAATGAAACAAAAATATATGATATTTAGATTTTGATTGCAAAGATCTTTGGAGTAACGTACACACATGAATCACTCAAAATAAAACCAAGAACATGTATAAGTACATGCAAGTAATCAGGGTCTGTTTTGATGTCATGATGACTTTAGTAAATTGTTACTTGCATGCACTTTCTTATTGTGTGGTGTTATGGTAATGATACAGGGTTTCTCTAACAGTTTGGTACAACGGTGGCAGTATGGTAATGATACAGGTTCTTTACCATAACAATTTACATCTGTACCAGACTGTTAATGATATAGATTTCCAACAGTCTAATACGGCTGTGTGGTGGAATGGTAATGATTCAGGTTTTTTAAGTCAGGCACAGCTGTACGGTGTTATGGTAATGATACAGGATTTAAACAGTCTGTTTTAGTTGTGCTGTGGTATGCTAACAATACAGATTTCTAACAGTTTAATATGTTCATGTGGTGTTATGGTAATGATTCAGGTTTTTTAAGGAGGTACACAGTTATACAACATTATGGTAATTAACAGGTTGCCAACAATCTGTTACTGCAATGTGGTGGTGCAATGTACTAACAATACAGGTTTCCAAAGTCTAATACAATATGGCTATGTGGTGTCATGGTAATGCTGCGTTCTCTTCCATCGGTTATTTTTATCGCTCCCCCCGGTGCACGCGAGCCACCGTAGCCCATCATCAGTCCTGTCACGCTGCGGACAGCGGCACTGTTTGTATCCTTGCCCCCCACCCCCCACCACCACCACAACAACCGCCATCATCTCCTCGCTCTCGCTCCCTCCCTCTTGCTCTACCGTGCTCTGTGGCCCTGCCACTCTGGTAATGAGGCCTGAATGCACAATAAGAGCATGTCATACTCCGACAGCTGGGGCGGTCCCCCAGCCTCGCCCGGGCTACAGGCTGAAGCACCCACTAATTAACACAGTTCTTCCTCTTCCACCCCAACACACACGCATACATCCCCCTCCTCTTCCTGTCTCTCTCAGCTGTATTCAGCCAATAAAAAAGTGGCGTGTCGCGTAGCCTCAATTATATTTTTTTCCTTTTGTACAGGCGGAGAACACAGGCTGTTCGTATACAATACAGTGGCCGCCTTTATTGAGCCCTGGCGGGGGAGAAGAAAACGAGAGGAGGGGTAAGGAGAGAAAAGGAAGGAGGGGGAAAATATGAAGACGTGTACTATGACTGCTAGTGACAAGTTGTTGAAATCCAGGCAGATCCTGCAGTGTCTTTTTAAAGCTTTTTACTGCTCCTCTGCCAATGCAAGAGGAGCAGTAAAAACCTCCATTTACAGCAACTCTTCACTGAGCTCCCCAAAACACACGCTCACACATGCATAAATATAAATGAAACCCAACGCGCCTAAAGCAAGCGAAAGAACTGTGCGGTTGCTTTGTACTTGTGACTGAGCAACGCTTGCTCCAGGGGGAGAGAGACTGAGCAACGCAACGCAGCACAACACAAACACATAAACATCCAAACAGAAGAGACGAAAAACAACAAAAAAAACATTAGAAATGAGGAGAGAAGCCACATTTTGCTGTCCTCTACTTAGGTTTTACATAATTTCATAGCTAAATAGCCCTTGTGTGTCTTCTTTGAGCAAAAACAGAAGAAATCTAAAAAACAGAGGGAGACATGGAATGAGTGTGTGTGTGTGTGGACGGAGGGGTGGAGAAGGGTGTGGAGAGACACAGGGGGGAAATCATCGATCGATCGGGCGGCTGTTGAAATGTTAATGCTAATCGTATAACCGCTTTCCGCCGGTGCCTTGCACTTCTGTGGCAGCTCCAATTAATCTGGAAGAAGGCAGCGCGTGACCTTGGGGCCGGGAGTCGGGGGCTGGCAGCCCAGCCATGCTTATGTAATTACACTGTGAAGTTTGTAATCACCTTGCCTAATCCCTCAGGCCTCACAATTAGCCCGGGCGGCGCTGGCTAGGCCTGCCAAACTCTGCGCCGCCCTGCGCGGCCCACAGATGAATAACGGTCAATTAAAGCTGCATGACTTGGGCCGCGAAGCGTCCGCTCGATAGTAATTAGCTGTAATCATGGGGAGACGTGCCCGGCAGACGTGCTTCTCCTTTTATAGGAAGCAATTTTGGAATGAGGCAAGCATTAACCGTTTCACTCTGGGTCTTTGGCCCACAGAAAAAGAAAAATGGGGTAGAGAGCAAGGAAAAAACAGAGCGATATGGTGGATAGCAGGGACTATGATTCTGCTTTAATGTGTATTCTCACATATAATATTAAAAATGTAAATTTAAAAGCTGCGGTGTTTGACTAGTGGCACCAGATGACGTTGCGAAAATGAAGTTACCTTTTCTCTGTGCAATAAAGAGTTTCACCCAAAAATTTTAAATTCTCTCACAGATAGAATTAAAATGATATTGATATATTTAAAAATGTCTCAGTGTTACTACCCCATTTACTTTCATTCTTTAGAATATCTTCTTTTGTGTTTCACAGATTAAAAAAAATAATACAGATTTGAAACGCAAATGATTTCAAAAGTAAATGATGACAGTATTTTCAATTTTGGGCGAACCATCCCTTTAAGTAGAGATAGAGGGAAGTATTTTAACATTAAAAGAAATTGCACAAGGCAGCTTTAAAAATGTGTTAAATTTATTTCCAGTACACTGACTGCTTCTCAGTTTACTGGCTTAATTACCTCTACATCTTTTGAGAACTGCCTCTGTTCCTCCACCCTGCCCCGTCTCTCCTTTTCTCTATCTGTCGATCTCTCTCTAGCTCTCTCGCAACCTAACTGGCGGTAGGGCAAGTAGACGTCACTTGTGTTCGCTCATGTGTGACGACCTGTCAGAGTGGCAGCGGCGTCTCTCCCTGCCTGAAAGCAACGGCGGTGTGGAGTGTTGTGCATATGTGTGTGTGTGTAAAGGCGGAGGCAGAGCACCAAACTGGCCAGACGAGAAAGAGAGAAAAGTGGAGCGGAGCTGACAGGATGGCCCTTAATGAGAGGAGCGCGGGGGATTAGCCGCTCGCCACACCGTGCCTGCCTCGCCTTGACTCGAGGCGGGAACACATTTGCACAGGAAGCACATTAAAATGCATAAGGCTCTTGCTCACCCACCGCCCCCCACCCCAGACCACTGTCTGTTGCTTGTGCTGCCCCACATGCCAAACACATTAGGATTTGCCTTGCAGATTCCCTAAATGCAATCTGCCATTTAAAACCAGACAAATGGCTGGCCGTGACTGCAGGACTATTGATCTTGGTAAAGATTTGTTTTTAACAATAGCCACTAATGGGCGGCAGATAATCAATTATGGAGAGTCGATAGAAAGGTGAGCTTGAGGAATGGCTTCCGGCTCACCGTTTTAGCCTGGTCAACTCTCTGTCAATGCTTTAGAGGGTTTGCAATGTCACACAGTCTGTGCTAAAAGCTTTAGCCCACCCAAAAATTCAGGTAACAATAGCCACTAATGGGCGTCAGATAATCAATTATGGAGAGTTGATAGAAAGGTGAGCTTGAGGAATGGCTTCCGGCTCACCGTTTTAGCCTGGTCAACTCTCTGTCAATGCTTTAGAGGGTTTGCAATGTCACACAGTCTGTGCTAAAAGCTTTAGCCCACCCAAAAATTCAGGTTTTATATATATATATATATATATATATATAATTCAGGTTAAATATTATATATATATATATATATTTTTTTAGGCATTTTGTAAGCTTGAAATCTTTGGTCCCTGCTCATTGTAATTGAATAGAAAAGAAAACAGTTTCTCATATTGTGATACAAAGAAGGTAAAGGTGAAGGTGAAAGGTTTGTAACAACCTGAGGGTGAGTAAACAATAACAGAATTGGGTTATTTAACCCATAAATGTGCATTGTATCAGTTTTACAATTTTCCAAGCTAAAAAAAAAAAAGTCAAACAAAGGGTTAAAGAACTGATGAAAAAAAAAATGAGTGTGTAGAAGTGAGAAAAAAAAAACACTTTCCTCCCTCCCTCTTTTCACCCACAACCTAGGAAGTGTGCAGGCCTCGTTAACATCAGCGGTCCTGTGTGGCTAATTACCATGAGCTGGTGGAGCTGCGGCGGCTAGCTGGTCAAAGCTGCACGCTGAGATCCTGATATGATGCTGCGCTGGGCCAGGAACCGAACAGAGTTCCCCCACCCACGCTGGGCGACCCCTCCCAATTCACTTCCTCCCTACCTCCTCGCCTCGCCGGCCCATTATCGATCCTCCAGCTTCCCGCGCCACATAAATAATCGACAAGCAATTACCTGCCTACTCCTGCTGCCCGGGCTTTGTTTGGAGGCGGAGGGGAGCGCCGCAAGCACAGTGGCCTTGCTGAGATGAGGAGAGAGGAAGGAGGAGAGATATTCAGGGGGAGAAACCTTACATGGAGGGGGAACGGCGTGTTGTCCTAGCGACCCGTTCGGTCCCGAGGCCTATAAATGCCTCCTGACAAGATCAAATCGAACAGGGTTGCGAAGGGGTCATACGCAGAGATCATACCCACTGGCACATCCCATTAAGTGGATTTTCTATTCTTTCCGTGGCCTTAACGCCAACTTCCATTTTCCCTCCCTTTTCCCTCTTCCATTACTTTGGTGCATAATTCAATTTTTCCCTCTTTTCTCTTCAGCAGGCAGTCACCCACTCCAACATGCATGCAGTATTCATTAGAGTCGGATGTTGGCTTCATTATTAATGTAAAATATTCATGTTATTTTAAAACTTAGCATTTTTTCCTGTATCCGTGGTCTTAAAGTGTGCCTCAGAGGTTTCCATTCAGCAGAAGGGAATTTATCAACCAAACGCACACGCACGCTTACATCTCATCCACTTTTACACTACAATCCAGAGTAAAGAAAGCGTATGTTTGGTTTCAGCCACAGTCCAAGCGATCTCTTCTGTGTAAATCTAAGTTTTCCTTAAAGGAGCTGACAGCGTAACAAGTAACAGGGATAGAATATTTTGGCATTCTAACAAGGGATAGAATATTTTGTCAGTCATTTGATCTCTATTTCTGCATCGCACTAGGTAGCACCATCAACTGTGAAATCTCTTTGGCCCAAATTCTTTTGCCACATAATTTGACAGTAAACATCAAATATCTCCTTTTTAGTCGAGATAGTGTCACTAAAAATTGTTGCATCGTGTCTGGTTAGGACACCATGTTGAGTTGTAGGACCATGTTACCCATCACAAAGCAAAAGGAGGCGAAACTAATATGACAGACTGAACATACATTTAGTTTACAATCTGATATTTTAGATCCAAAGCATGCAAAAGAGAGATTCCAGAGAATACGATGTTGTGCATGTGCATTACCGCTCAGGGAAGTGTGTGTCTCTGTGTTGGGGAAGGCCCTGCTTGCGCCGCTGGCTGGAGGAGCTGCCTGCAGTGGGGACGTGAGCTTCCATTCCTCCCGGGTTTCTAACGGCAGCCATGGCTTCCTGACGCACACGCAGCAGCTCTGTGAATGGAAGGAACAGACCAGTTAAATTGAGAAACTTCACAGTCCGGTCTGTGTTGTCAGCGCCAAATCTGTCAGTCTAGCTCTGAACCAACACTGTAAGATTCAGTCCAAGAGTCCCAGAGCAGGATACGTTAACCGTAAATATGAATCTTTAAGAACTGTTTAAGAAAAACCAGGGTCATCTATTTCAGTGTCACTTCTCCACTGTTCAACATGGAGCTCCCAATTAAGCACTGAGCATTATGGGACATAAATGAGTGAACATATCGTTTATTGACAAATAGGGCTGGGTGATAAATCGATAACGATAATTATCACGATATAATTTTCCTCGATAAAACGATTACAGTTGGTGGCTCAGCGCGAGCTCACTGGAGCAGAAACGTTCACTCACTGACGAGTCTCGTTCACACGAGCACTAAACAGCACAGTGAGATTCAGTGTGAAGTGCTTGAATTCAACGAAGAACACAAATGACTTAGTGACTTAAACTAGTTTAAAGCCAGATAAAACAGCGCTGACAAACAGGAGAAACACTGCACAACGATACAGTCAGAAGGCTTTTCAATCTACAAACTGCCATCATTTACCATGGATTTACTGTAGTAACACTAACTGAACCATGGTATTGTGGCAGAAATGTGGGATATTCATATTGAATTTTATTATATTATCGTAGTAGACATGTATTAAATGTATTAAAGGAGTAATGGAATATAACAGTATTTTTGTAATTAAGTTATAGCATTTGTGCATTTATACTAAATGTATTTAGACTACTGTTTTTCATACAAATACCTAGAAACCATATAGTTATATTTTTACCATGGTACTGAGGTGCTGGGGTTATCATGATTAAAATGAATGTTACTATGGACGAACAATGGTTAATTTTAATAAAACTCAAACAGTCAGAATAATTAAGAATAATTGAGGTTGTTACCATCTTCACAGATGTTACTGATTTTGATAATGAACATAAATTTACATCTGCATCCGAACTCAAGCTACTACTACTATCAAATGTGCATTTCTAAAAGACAAATTATTATAAATATTATCAGGCAACACAAACCTGTTTCTTGATTTGAAACAATATCTCTCATTAGAACATGCAGAAACTAAGAAATTAATTTTTCTATTAAGGTATTTATGTTAAAGAATTGACTAAGGTTATTTTGACTGACGTGAAGCGTTTGTCATGTTCTGACCATAAAGAGTAGTTTAAAAGCACAATTAATTGTCTGGTTTCTACAACTTTCACTTTGGAGCAAAAATCTGCCTTTCCTTTGCTGCCTTTTCCCGAGGGCGGGGTTTATGACATCATGAACCCAGGAAGTAACTTCTTGTAGTCTCTACCAGCCGTTTTTGTAGGCATTAAACTGCCAGAATAAAAGACGATATCTCTGTTTGCATTGAATCTCATTAGAACATGCAGAAACTAAGAAATTAATTTTTCTATTAAGGTATTTATGTTAAAGAATTGACTAAGGTTATTTTGACTGACGTGAAGCGTTTGTCATGTTCTGACCATAAAGAGTAGTTTAAAAGCACAATTAATTGTCTGGTTTCTACAACTTTCACTTTGGAGCAAAAATCTGCCTTTACACTTGAAAGAAATAAAGATTTGACATTTATTGTGATAACTATCGATATTGACTGATATGAAAAAAATTATTGTGATAATTTATTATATTATTATTATATTATATTATATCGTGATAATTTTTTTGGCCATATCGACCAGCCCTATTGACAAATATAAGATATCTCATTAAAGAGGTGGTTCACTGTTTTTTTTCTAGGATTGATTGTGTTTATGGGTGCAGTCTAACATGTGTTAATGCTTCGTTTTTTTAAAAACGCATTATTTTCACATAATTTACCTTTATTCCACACCGCTCTGTCCCTCTCTGTTTGCATTGAACTTTCAGCTTTGTAACTTTGCAGATATTGCTTATGCTCAAACAGCAATATTACACATAAATTAACGGTAAAAAAGTGAAATCGCAATGAACCACCCCTTTAAAATAAACTCAATTTGACTCAATTTGAGGTATCATTCATGTTCGTCGCATAAAACAGTGCAGGATGTGCTGAAATGTAATAGTAAGGAGTTAGTTCACTAATCCTTAGCAAACAACACTAATAAAAGGCAATAAAATAAAACAAAGCTAGAAAACAACTACATGACTGAAATATAAGTGAGCCGCTGGTCTCCCTCCTGAATCTGTGATGTTAGACAAGCCCAGACCATCTCCCAACATTACCGAACTAACAGGGTCACCACAGGAAGCGCACTCTCTAATGAAAGGGTGTTAAATAGAAAATCCATCCTGCATGCCTCCCTCTCTTCCTCTCCCTCACTCTCATCTCTCGCTCCCTCTCTCCTCTGGCCCTTTTTTAATTAGACGGTTCCCTCGGGAGCTGGCGGCCATTTCCGAGGCTGGCGTGTGGGCCTGAGTGATCAGGTCGGAGGCACCGCGACAGATATTAATGTGCACAGGCCCGCTGTATTGATCTGTTTATTGCACTGCCCCGCGGGGGCCCGGACTGACAGCGGACAAACCTCTAACAGCTCATGAGAGGGAATAAAAAAGAATGAAAAAAAAGGAAGAAGGAAAAGCACCGTGGAAAAGCAGCAATGCTTATCATTTGGTCACATACTCATTCCAGATGACCAAAAAAATTAGTAGTCTGTCCACAAACATTATATATAACCTGCTGCAAAAATCTGGTGAAAGCTTGTAGATGGCTGCATCCGAAATCGCATACTTCCTTACTATATAGCATGTCTGAATTCACAGCATTCATAAAACAGTAGGTAAAAGTGTGACCCACTCAGTAATGAGCATTGAACAGACACTTTACTATCCCATGAAGCCACAAGAGAGGATTTGTGAATGGCAGTGACACTGGTAAGTCATATGACAATGACAACATACTACACACATATTTATACTAAATAGAACATACTTTTTTTAATGGTCGCAAAGTAATTACTTATTTAAAAGAAGTACCTAGTCCAGGGGTAGGCAAGTTAGAGAGCCGCAGTCCTGCAGAGTTCAGCTCCAACCCTGAAAACAAAACTCACCTGCCTATAGCCTTAGTAATCCTGAAGACATTGATTAGCTTGTTCAGGTGTGTTTGATTAGGGTTGGAGCTGAACTCTGCAGGACTGCGGCTCTCTAGGACCGAACTTGCCTACCCCTGACCTAGTCAGAGAGTAAGTGATTTCCAATGTGTTTTGGTAAATGGTAGCTGGTTTCTAGCACATCACTGATACTCCTAGACCATCTCGGACAGGCAACAAACCTTCTAATATCCAGCTGCTGCTACCACCACCATGTTCTAAAACACACCTATCGGCTTTCCAGCATGGTAAAACAGTCCCAAAATCCAGTAAAACTCAAAGCTGCTCTGAAGCCCTTTCCTCGGTTACCCAGAGATGAATTATTCCCTTTAACCTGCAACAGAGTTAGCACAGGGTCACCTAGGGCTGCATGTACAAGCACACTACTCATCCAAACAGTGACATCCTGACACCCATGCTACCATCTCCCACCCACATTCACCTCGCGTCCTCTGTCACACCCCGAATTTGCATCATCTGAGTCAGTGTTACTGTGGAATCTTTAACTAGGGAGAGCTCCCGTGGTAAAGCATTGGCAGGCCTTTGAGAGCTTCTGTATGGCACAACAGGTCCACGTGTGCCAGGAGCAGCTGACAGACACAATACTCATCTGGAATTCTTTCAGGGGGACGACAGACCCAAAAGCAACTGAGAGCAGCCCATGCCTTTTTCTCTTTTTCAATTTCACTCCCATTCAGGGGCGTGATGCACCTAGTTTTTTGAGGAGGCACCAGTGACAGTTCTGACTCACTTACATGAGCGTAGGACGTGTCAGTCTAGTGAAATTCATTCTGTTTAGGTTCAAATCCTAACTATTTCACTAGAATATTTTCACTAGGCTTGGTGTATAATAACAATACATTTAAAAATATATATATTGTAATAATTTTTACACAATAATAATAAAGTAATATTCTGAAGTATTATATATATGTGTGTGTGTGTTTTTTAATTTTTATTTTATTTTATCGATTAATGTGTTGCAGAGCTGAATTTTCAGCAGCCATTAATCAAGTATTCAGTGCTCAATTTGGTGCTAAAGACATTATAATCAATGTTAAAAACAGTTGCGCTGCTTAATATTTTTGTGAAACCTGTTGTCAATTTTGTTTCAGGACTATATGATGAATATAAAGTACAAAAGAACAGCATTTATTTGAAACAGAAATCTTTTGAAACAGTATAAATGTCTTTACTATTTACTATACCATTTAATGTGTCCAGGCTGGATAAAAGTATACTTTTTTCTTCCAAAAACAAACTTATCCCAAGTTTCATCCAAACTCTTGAATGGTAGTTCATGTGTATAAAAATTGTATATTATAAATATTAAACGAAAGAGAGATATCATCAAGCGTAAAGAGATATTTTGCATTCAAAATCCAGCCCAAAATGCAAAGGGACATGGGCCTCACCAATCGGAATGGACACAACGCTTGAGTGCTTATAGAAACCGCATCATAGCCAAATCTAAAGGTGCACAACACCTTATACCCCCCTCCAAACGCACACACTCACACAAACCTATCCGCGCCTCCTTCACGGCCTTTCATTTCAGGGCCTCCACTTCAAACACATGAAAGGATGCTCTGCGGGGATCCAGGCGAGAAAGAACAAGGGAGGAAAGAAAGAGAGAATATAAAAGCAGGGCTGTGCGTAGAGAGTTCTGGGGGAGTGTGTGCGTGTATCTGGGGGGGG